TTAAGTTTTTTCTTTCCTTTGTAATGTAAATTTCCATACAGTATAATTGAGTTGAGAATAAAGTAACGGTTATTTAATATTCAAATTATGTATGCAACTATAATAGTCTGTTTCCCCTTGTATAGTTGTTAACCCCTTTGATTTGTCTGTTTCTGATCATTGAACAACCCTAACAGACAAGTGAGTATACTCATGTTATCGTAAAATACTCAAAATGATGTTTAGAATATACTCAAAGTATTTTACGGTATGTTTGTGAATAAATATAAGTCGTAAGGTCTCTTTGATTAAGTTTTTTAATAAATAAACAATATGTTCACCATATTCAACACAAATTGATCCTCTTTGAGACGCTATACGAAAAAAAAGTCCGAATACCATAGACTGATTATATAGCTCTGTAATCATATGTTAAATTATAGCAGAAAAGACCATCGTGGTCGAATTGGTTTAAATATTATATTGAGGAGTACTTTATTATATATAAGAAACAATTAAAATTTTAATAAACCGATTTTGTGTATGTTTTTTATCAAAAATATTTTTTTATTCCATTTCTGCCATCTCTTTAGTATTTACTTCCCCAAATCTTTATTGTACAACATAAAACTACTGAATCTGTTGAATATTTCATGTCACATGAAGGCAGATTAAGAAAATATTTTACTTTAGTAGGCAATCATGATAAAACCTGACATGCAAGTCACATTTTTTTAATATTAAGCTAGTTCGTAATGGAATTTTAGTTTAACGACCATAATATTTATTCAGCAATACGTGTGGGTGTCATCTTATAGATTTTTATGAAGGTTACGCAATGAATCAATGAAGAATTTTTGTGGCTTGTTTCAAGGTCATTGGAAATTGAAAATGTGCAGGATATTAATTCAAAGCTTCAAAATCAATGTTTAAACACCATAACCCCACAGCCACGAGGATATGTGTGATTACAGTGCTTTTTCCATCCCACATGAGAATCACAAAGCTCGAGGATATACATATAGGAACGCAAATATATACGAAGCCTCCTTCTTAATAATGTTTAAGGAGTGTGCTATCAAAACGTCCAATAAATTTACATTTTTAACTGAGTATCCCGAACATACAAAGAGCATGCTCAGAAAAGTGAGCATATAAGTGAGTCTACTCAAAAAATGTACTCATGCAAGCTCATTCAACTGAGCATGCTCATGAGAATATTATGAATGTGCTCACTTAAATTTTTTACAACAACTTTATAAGCTCACGTGAGTGCATTCAATAAGTATACTCTTGAGAATATTAAGAACATACTCATGTGAATTCACTCATATGAGTGCACTTACTGAATGTACTCATGAGCATATAATGAGCAAGCTCACTGCTGTGTCACACAATTTTTTTTATATTCTCATATGAGTGCACTTACTGAATGTACTCATGAGCATAAAATGAGCAAGCTCACTTCTGTGTCACACAATTTTTTTTTTTTTAATTATATTCTCATATGAGTGCACTTACTGAATGTACTCATGAGCATAAAATGAGCAAGCTCACTTCTGTGTCACACAATTTTTTATATATTCTCATATGAGCGCACTTACTGAATGTACTCATGAGCATATAATGAGCAAGCTCACTTCTGTGTCACACAATTTTTTTTATATTCTCATATGAGTGCACTTACTGAGTTTATTCAAGAGCAAATTGTGTACGTTTTCGATTTAGCTGACATTTTTTAAAAAAACGTCAGCTACCTTAAAAAATCATTATTTGAGATTTTTTTAAAAAATATCAGCTAAATCGAAAACGTTAAAAAAATGATTTTTTAAGGAAGCTGACGTTTTTTAAAAATGTCAGCTAAATCGAAAACGTTAAAAAAATGATTTTTAAGGAAGCTGACGTTTTTTAAAAATGTCAGCTAAATCGAAAACGCTAAAAAAATGATTTTTTAAGGAAGCTTACGTTTTTTAAAAATGTCAGCTAAATCGAAAACGTTAAAAAAATGATTTTTTAAGGAAGCTGACGTTTTTTAAAAATGTCAGCTAAATCGAAAACGTTAAAATTGGTGCTCAATAAGATTCAAGCTTCAAAGAACTTAGTTCGCCTGTAAAAATATAATAATTTAAGTATGTGTTATGCCATATATAAATTATTATATATTTACAGACAATAGCTCCAAGGAAAAGTGTGAGATGTCAGAAGTTAAGCAACGCAGAAGATATTTCAACAAAGATGGGTGACCAGATTTATATGTTTCCGTCTAAGTATTTGAGATAAAATATTAATAATAATTTCTAACTCTTTCAAAATTATTCACAGAAATTCAAAGAAATAAACGGAACAGTACTTGATTTCAGCTAACCTATAATATTCAAATTTAGCTTAATTAATTTTTTGAATTTTGCAACTTCACTTGAGTGCACTCATGAGTGTGCTCAGATGAGCATATACTCATAAATATACTCACTGAGCATATATCTTTTGAGTATCTTCATGAGTATAAGCTCTTTGAGAATATTTATGAGTATATGCTCTCTGAGAATGTAAATGAGTATATTCAATGAAAATGTTACATGAGAAAAATGTTGCATGTGACATGTTACCTTCTCATTTGAGTATGCTCATGAGTTTACTCAATGATCTTATTACATGTCACATAGGAATGTGCTCACTGAGCATGCTCAAGAAGGTACCGTAAGCGCATCACTGAAATGTATGAAAATGAGCACATTCTCACAAAGGCTAATAGGCTCACAAATAATGTGCTCTGAGCATGCTCATTGTATGTTCGGGTATCAAGACGGGTGGCTGCTTCAAGTTTGCTTTTAACAATTTTCCACAATACAAGCACATAATTCATAAATGTCAGCAATAAAAATTGCTTCATCCCTACTTGTTTCCACACAAATTGGTTTTGAGTTATTGTGTGTAGGAGATTTTGGATTTTTTTTCTTGGGCTGATAAAACAAAATGGGGAAGCTATAAAGTTGAGGATGGCGTATTTTTGCATCACTCAAGCAGAATTGTGTAACTTTGAAGCAGAAATTTGCATCTTTCAAGTCTAGGTTTGCGTCTTTTCATCAAAAGTTTGCAGCTTTCAAGCAAAATTTTTCATCATTGAAGCAGAAGTTTGCATCTTTGAAGCAGAAGTTTGCATATTTGAAGTAAAAGTTTGCATCTTTGACGTAAAAGTTTGCATCTTTGAAGCAGAAGTTTGCATATTTGAAGTAAAAGTTTGCATCTTTGAAGTAAAAGCTTGAATCATTAAAGCAGGATTTGGTTCTTTTAAGCCGAATCTGCATCTTTGAAGCAAAAGTTTGCGTCCTTTAATCAGAAATTTGAGTCTTTTAATCAGAAGTTTGCTCTAAATCCTATAAGTCAATGAGCTTCAAATCCAAAAGATCTTCATTTACTCCTCACAAAAGTTTCAAATGTCCCTTTTGGTCAATGACTTTAGACAGCACATACACATTAATCATGTGCCTCATATCCCGTTGAGAATTTCCAAGCAAATCCAATCCTTTTCATTTCACTTTAAAACAAGTAAATCTACCGCACCCACATCAATAAAGATATCTTCAATAATACAGTAATGTTCAACTTTTTTTTGTAGCACTCGCGCCTTGACAGGCAATCGCACTTCGCATTATTGATGAAGTATTATAAAATATTCAGAAGTTAATCATGTGAGGAAATCGAAACAACAAGAATCATTTCTTCACCCCACATCAGTTGCTTACTTACTGCCTGTTTCTCGATATCTGTTATCGCTTTCAAAATTCTTGGGGAACTGAGGATTTATGAATGTTTTAAGGTATTAAAGAAAATTGCTATTTTTTTCAACATTTTCTATTTGTTTTGTGATGAATAAATTTGCTCAATTCTATTTTATTTCATATCCCATCCACACAGTCTTAATAATTCATAGCTTTGTGAGCTAAGAGTTCAGTAACCTTTTCATAAATTTTAATTAAATCACAACCAAAAACTTTTCGGTGTCCATTTTCCCCAGAAGATAAACTTTATTTTTATACTACTGTTTTGAACGACCCTTTTAATAAGTGTCACAAGGATATGATATCAAAATTCATTACATGACATTTGGACGATTCTTAGCAGTTTTGTCGTAAATCAGTTGACGACATTGAATGAACTATAGCCAATTTATGGTCCAAATTAAGTATGACAAAGTATATATTGCTGGAAAGGCCTCTATTTGAGATATATGATTCCACCATTTTTGGAGTTTTTGAAACGGTTCTATCGGTTTTGTATCGGTTCAAAGTCAATGTAAAATGAACTGCTAATAACTTTTGATCAGAATGGTAGAAATTAAAAATTATTTTTGGCATTAAAAGCCTGTAAAAATCAACAGAGCTTTTAAGGGTTTTCAATTATTTCCCATGAGTGTTATATCATTTTTGAAGGGCCCAAACTTTAAAATTCAAACGCTAATAACTCAAGAACTATAAAAGATATGAATATGAAACTTTTGCTTATTGATTCACTTTTTTATGTAGCTTAATTAACAGGAACTGAATTTCGGGTCGCTTCATAAATATTGTCTCAACAGTCAAAACATTAAATTTTAAGAAATTCTTTCACTTTTTTCTATAAAAATTTGAAACTTTGAAACAAATCTTTTTATGCGATTATAATCAGCATTAAAATACCTTTATAATGATGTACCCTTTTTTTGGGATCTGTACGAAAATTAGGTCAAAAATTAATTTTTGACATATTTGAAAACTTTTTTAAAATTTTTTGAAAATTTCAAAAACAGATTTAAATACCATTTTCTAAGACCTTTTTAACGATATGTAGTTTGTATGCCTTTACTTGCATTGTTTTTACATTGACTTTGAACCGATACAAAACCGATAGAACCGTTTCAAAAACTCCAAAAATGGCGGAATCGTATAGCTGAAATAGAGGCCTTTCCAGCAATATAAACTTTGTCATACTTAATTTGGACCATAAATTGACTATAGTTCATTCAATGTCGTCAACTGACTTACGACAAAACTGCTAAGAATCGTCCATTTGGAATGAAAGTCAGTTCTGTTTGTAATGACATTTTGATAAAACTTAAGAAACTTTCATCGAATCTCTTTAAAATCTATCTTTCTGATTATAGTTCTGTGTGCTCCTTGGCAACTCCTCTAGTCACAGTTAAAATACAATCAATAAGCTCACTAATAAAGATGAGAGGTTTGTGTTGTTTCGAATAAACTTAAAAATACGTCCAAAATTCATAATTATCCCAAATCTAGCATTTATTTGCTCAAGATATTTTTGTGACAGCACAACATTAAATCCTTACTAATAACTCTAAAAACAAAACAATTCCTTCAAGCTACAAACAATTTTCACAAGAATATCACAAAACTTCCCAAAAACTTATCGTTTCCAAATTCTAAAGTGGTTTTTAACAATCAAGCAATTTGCATATCACCTCCCACACATTTCTAAATGATAAATTGGCCAACTTTTTTTCATGTTGCACTAATGTGTTATGGTGTTTAAATATAAACCGTATGTGACGGTGTTTCATGGGAACAAAAGTGTCCTGGGGGTCCTCGATTTGAGTAGGTGTTCTGTTCCAAAAAAATCCTATTCAAATTGAATCTACTCAAATCGAATTATTTACTTTTTGTATGAAAAATGTCCATGACAAAATAAAATTTAAATTTTCTATTCATTAATTTTCATTACTCAAATTGAATCTACTCAAATCGAGGACCCCCAGTAATAGAAAATCTCTGATGCATCGCAGCGCGTTGCTGCATTGGTATAAAAAATAGATGTGATGTAGAGAGTTGTTTTGTGTGTGCTTTTGAGGCGATTACGTAGTCAAAATTAACATGAATGTTCTTTTTTCGTATTTGGGTTGATGAATATGTAATCATGATGTTGGTATTTAGGTTTGGAACTGGAAAATGTTTACAGGTATGCAGTATAGATGATTTGAGAATTTAGAATCTGGTTTAAATTGTTTTTTATCATTTCCTGCAGTCGTAATGTTAGTTTGGTCTGTTTGAGATTACACATCATCTAGTTCTACATACTCTCTAGGGAACAATAACTTTACTGCAGACCAAAAACTCTTTTAGATGGATCCTATGTCAGGAAACATACAAATAATGCACATGAACCAGCTTAAACAATGCAAAATCAATTTTAATCTTATTACATTTCTTATAATCTAATCAATGGTCACTAGAATAAATAGGATAGACTCTGTTCATGACTTTCTGAAAATCAACTCAAACTCAGTCTGATCAACTGCCTTAATTAAGATAAAGCACAAATAGAAAGCTACACAAAACTCATCATCTAATCAATTCCGACAGCAACAAATCTACTCGAAAAGTCAAAACTTTTCTGCCACAGACATAAAGTCTGAGTACGACACTAAATAAAATGAACAACTTCCAATGCGAAAACGGAATTGAAATTTCAATAATTAGCAATTCAAATAATTTAAACAGATAAACTCTGAATATTTTAATTGTCTAGATCCATTTCCATCTCTACGAAACTTTTACAACAGGTTACTGACACCGAATCTGTACGTAACGAATATTGATTTTTTGGGATAAAAAGCTTCTCTTCTCTTCCTAAGTATTGTTATTAAATTATTTTAAAGCACTGATGTGGATATTCTTTAATCTTTGCTGAATGATTTTTAAAAGCTAGAGAAAGAATAGCACTAAAATTTTTGCTTTTCTCTCGAGTCTTTATGTATCTTTCAATCAATAATCTCGAGCTTTTTCAATTTGCTGTTCTACTCTTTTTCTCTCGCTTAACGGCGTTCGAGGAAGAAGCAAAGAATCAAGGAAAGTTTTCTACATAAGCTTCTTCCATTGGTGGATGTTCTTATTTAAGGAAAGGGACGATATTGTCTGCATTTTGTCGAATGTTTGAGTTTGCCTGTTTCACAGTCTGTATTTGTGTCTGTCTGTCAATCGATTGTTTGTTCTTCTGTTTGTTTAATTTCTCTGTCAGTAAACTATTAAAAATGTCTTTTCTAATCCCATTCAACTGCAAAATGCTCCTTTTAAGCCACGACTGACCTCATTCTTATTTTAAACATATTTTATTAAAAAAACTACATATCAAATGTTCTCATTAGTTCTCTTTGACTCAGTTTACAAAAAGGAAATTACTTTTCTCTGTTTATGACAACAACAACAAGTTTGGCATGTCAACCTTTTCAAAAGGTAGCAAAATGTAATAATTTAAGGAGAAAGCTTGCTGAAAATGTCAAAGGAAACATGACTTTGACAAGAAATTGAAAACAATTTCCAAAGTAAATCAGTATTTTGTGGATATAAGCTTCTAGAATCTTTTCAGGAAAATTATTGTAAAGAAATGCTGTTTACTGTATTCCGTGATTTTGAATAACTTACCTAATGTATACAGGAGACGATTTACCTTTTCATCAAAATTTTTTCACTTAAATTTTACAATGATTATTAAAGTTGGAAAATATTTCAAAGCTTGTTTGAATTAAAATTAAATTAAATGTTCGAAGGTTGTTTTTACAGTCAAGTTTGATGTAATTTGTTGCAAATCAAGATAGTTTACTGTCAAAGTTCAGTTAAGTCTAAGCTTTGAATTATGTTTAACTAGAAATTGATGATTGGAACAGATCTAAAGCATATTGATTGATTTTTAACAAGAAGTTTTAAAAATTTGAAATGATAAACTAGCATCTTGATTTATTCATGCCTAGATATCAAGAAACTAGCGTCTAGCCATAGCTGTATCAGCTAGGGTTGGCTGGAATGTGAATATTTCAAGCTAATGAAACAAATACTTAAATCCCAACAAGACCTTCCTTCAATTAATGATCGTGTCATTTAAATATTCGATATCTGCATCCTGGATCATTATGTAACTATGTCGCATACTACCTACAAAAAGCAATCTTAATTTAACCACAATAGCTACCAACGTAGAGTCTATGTCATAGTCATAAAACAATCTAGACTCTAAAAAACTTCCAACTTCTCACAAACGACCCTTAATCTCATATCATCAGCACATCACAACTTGATTACATACATTAAGTTTACATAAATAAAATTCTCTGACTCAAACTTCCCCAAAACAATCTCATTCAGTCTATTTCAGAACAAAAAGTTTTTTGTCTCTTAATGGAAAATTCACAAACTTCCATGTCAACCGAATTGTAGCCAAAATAAAAATGATTTCATGTGGAAGGAAAAAATTTGGTACGACATAAATGAATGTGATTGCAAGCTCGACTGTCATGATAAATTTTTTTGTTTTGTCTCATTTTATTTGTGATGCTATGAATGGTACTTTTATTTCTGCAATGGTCGTCCATTTATCATACTTTTTTGGAATTGAATAAAACATTATTAAGCTATGGCGACTGTTCTGGTCTTGGAATGACCTGAATTTGCTGTAATTAGATTTTTGATCAGTTAAACTTTTAGGTTAGAATTTCATTAATTTTATTTTATGACTCATGCTAGTTGTGACAGAGACTGTGAACACTCAGGGAGCCGAGACTGTGCTTATTCCAGTCTTTATGCTAGCTTCTTACCGAAATCACAGAATTCAGCAACTTTTAAGTCTTTAAACCTCAAGAATCTTTTCAAATTTCAGTCAAAGCATCTCATTACTTCAAAAACACATTCGAACTTTTTAATCCAGCCTTCACATAAGCCAGATCCCATTGAAGCGTTAAATAAATAAACAATAACTTTATCTTGCCTTTTTGTGCCATTAATTGAAACTTTATTTTTAATCGAGTGAAAGCTTTACAAAGGATTCTTTACACAGTAATCAACACCAAGAGCAGATGCTACCCTTTCGTTTTCTAATTCTGTTTACTTGTTCTTCAACTCAACTAAAATAATTATTTTTCTTTACAGTAATCCTCTTATTGAAGGCATTAAGCATATATTGTCGAAGTTAAGGAGAATTTTATTAAAAAGGGAGAAATTTTCAAGTGACGTTTAAGTTATTAAGGATAATGAGACTTAAATGCAGTCTATATCAGGCTGTTGAAGTATATTGCAGGTTTTAAACCGACGTCCTTTAAGCTGCAATACCAAATCTAAGCCAAATGTCTCGAACACTAAACTTTCAATCCTCAATTTCCATCATTTTATAAACGACAAAAAAAAAAAGCAGGAACAAATTCTTTTTAAACGTTCTGTTCCGAAAGCTTTATGTGTATTGAAGCATATCTCTTTATTTCTTTAAGCACGTGATGTCGAAGAGAACGAGAGACTGTGTGACGAAAAATAAAAATTATTCGGTCAAAAAGAAAATCGGTATGAATGTATATAGGGAAAACAGGTCCATTAAGAAAAATCAATAAACGCATGGAATAGAAAATTAAGCCTTTTTTTAAAATGAAAAGCTTCGCCGACAATTTACTATAAAAAGTGTGGAAGTATATCGCTCACATACGAAGTGGAAATAAATGTGTTACTTTATATTTTCCTTCTTTTCCTACCAACTTCCTGTAATATGAATAGCAACAAAAGTATTTTATTTTTACTGCCATGAGATATGTGCTGATTCTATTCATTTACATTTTAAGTCGAGAAAGAGGAAAATTCATTACGGAGACTTTTTTTTTCTCGGGTTTCCTTTTATGAACTGATCGTAAATTACGTCTAAGGGAATTTGAGTTCTTTGAACTCTAAGGGACGAAGCTGGAACTTGAAGCTAACTTAAAACCTTAGAAAATAAGGTTTTGAACTATTCATCAAACTTATGGACGTTAAGGATCAAACAATATCGTACCCTTGGTGGGCAAAATCAAGGCAAGAGGGGAGGGGAAAGGGGATGTCAATAACGTCAAAACTTTCTCTCAAGATTGAAATTTGTTTTTAAAAAATTGGATTTATCAAAAAATTTAAAATTTTCAAACCCAACATCAAGGTTTTGAAAAATTCTAGATTATTATTATTATTAGTTCATTCTTCAATCTTATATTCTTATTATAAATGCACACCAACTCAGATATCACTCCCAGACAACCCCCTCAAATTTATTTATTTTTATTTCCTGCAGTTTTATCTTTTCAGAGCTATTCAGTTTTACTATATTCTAGAATACGATCATGATAATAATGAGGTGGGCGTTGGATGCGGTTTAAAATGAGCTTTTGTCTATCATATCTGTCATGCGACATAGAAGATGATCTGCAATCGTTTTTATTGACACATTGTTAAGAACTTATTGATTAGGATGTTTGCTTTGAAAATAAAAAAATGCATGTCATGACTTTCAATTGAGGTTTTTCTTGGAGAAAATGTTTTGTCAGGCACGTATGTTGTATGTTTGTCGGCTTTATTTGCTTAGCTTTGTTTAAATAAGTTGCTCAATTTTGATAGTTTTGATGAGTTTTTGAACTAGCTTGTTCAGTTTTGATCTAAGTTGCTCAATTTTTGAACTAGCTTGCTCGATTTTGATAGTTTTGCTCAGTTGTTAAACAAGCTCGCTCAGTTTTTATACTAAGTTGCTCATTTTTTGAACTAGCTTGTTCAGTTTTGGTCAGTTTTTAAACATACTTGCTCAGTTTTGCTCAGTTTTTTATAAAACTTGCTTATTTTTGATAGTTTTTCTAAAAATTTGCTAAGTTTTTGAACTTAGTTTTCTCAATTTTTAACAAATTCACATTTTTAATTATTCTGACAATTCTTAAACATTTTGTTTAAACTATTGATCGAGTTCTTTGAAAAAATGCTAGAAAAATTTGTTCTTCAGATAACCTAGCTTTGTTTAAAAACAAAACTTCTAGAGTAAAATAATCACAAAACGTTGAACCTTAACCACCAGACGCGACAATCATAAGAGATAGAAAATTCCCAAAAAAAAAAAAAATCATTAAAACACAATAAATCAAAAAAAAAGCTACTTACTTAGAACTTTCGGTCTTTTTATCCTGTTCCGAAAATTCTCTTTCGTTTTTTTTTTTCTTTTATCCAATAAAAATCTTTAAATTTTTGTTTTCTGTGCGTAGAACTCAACCTGTAATTCACTGTAAAATTTAAGTAATTAGATCACGAGTAAGCAATTTTCGAGACACACAAAAAATAAGTTCACTTCTTCCGCAACATTTTTGAAAACCCCACAAAAACCCTCAACCTCATTCATTCACTCCTTCTTTTTCTTTTTTTTTTCAAGAATAGTTTTTTTTAATTTTAAAAAAAATCCTTTGTGGCTCACACAACACAACCAATTTTATTGATTTAGTCTAATTTAAAATATCAATTTAGAAGAACTTTTTACCTCACAATTATAATTCACTACTGAAAAAAATTAATTTTTTTTCACGAGCAGGATTTTCCCGTAGCAAAGTCAAATCGAGAATGAAAAGTTTTTCCAATTTTTCGATCGAAAGCTTCGATGTGAGGCATGCGCGTGGGATGCATTTTAAGGATATTTGTACTCCTCTTCAATTTCCCTTTTCGAAAAGTAAAAGTAATAAGGAGTAATTTACATTCAGAGCTAGGCGATAGTAATAAATTTATTTTTGGGGATGTTTTTGCATCTATTTTTTTTTATTTCTATTTTCTTCAGTGATTAACGGTAACAGGGAAGGAAATAATTAACAACTAATAATTTAAATTAATTCAATATATATTAAATATTATTAATACTTTTTGATTCGCTTCTTTAGTATCAGTTTTTTTTGTGATGTCTATGGACTTAGTTTATAGATAATATCATCGAGGTTCTTAACATTTTTTGTTTTTGTTAATTTATAGAAAGCTAATGATAGCTATGGAAAATCACATTGTGATGAGATTTAAATTAAGGAGAAGGATTTTCTAGTTCCTCGAACGTTTAGAGGACGATTTATCAGTTGGTGAGGGATTTTCATCTGTAAATTTAAGAAAAAACAGAATGCAAAATAAGAACAAAGTTCACGGGAATAATGGAGATTTTTTTAAACTAATAGGATCAAAATTATTATTTGGAAGTTGGATTGATGTCAAAACAGCTATGGTTATAAAATTTAATAAAATAAAATATTTAACATAATGTTCACAATTTTTTAAGACAAATTTGTTGAATTATTTTCAATTTATCAACGAAAATCTACCACAAAAATTCTTAAAAATGCTTCCCATAAATCATATTAGCTATTTAATTTCCAATAAAACACGCAATATTCTGTTATCAGCATTGACTTAAATCATTATGCAAATCTAGGTATGAATTAAAATAAACAGAAATGTAAGAACAACTAAATCTTTAAATCAATTGAGGTTCGAATCTTAGATAAAAAATTTAAAAAAATTCTCTGACATGTAGAACAAAAAATCTTTTTTGAGGTAAAATGTAGCAATTAGATTTTATATATTTGCAATAAAACTATACCTTCATAGTTGTAAAATTTAATAAACTTTAAGCCTTATTAAATTTATCAATACATCTCAAATAATTTGAAAAAGATTTAATAAATTTGAACCTTTTGAGGTTCGAATCTAAGTTATGGGCAATTCTCCAGATGAGTTGAGTATTTGAAAAAAGAGCTTTTATACTCCAAAGTCATTTACTGTTTACTTTCAATTTTTTTTTTGTAAATACCTTGTCAATTTCTTTGTTTTGATTGATTAATGCAACTTTAAACTGTTTATTACAATTGATTCTTACTGAAATCTTACTGTCAGCAAAAAAATCAACCGAAGAATCAAAAATTCTCTTTAAATAGTAATTATTGGAGTGTGATATGATTATGGTTAGATAGATTAGCTCAAAAACTACATTTCTGCATAATCATAATAAAAAATGAGTGTTTACTTTTTTTCAATTTTCGATTCTCCGGATGATTATTCCATTTTTTGCTGACAGTAATTTGCAAAAAAAAATTTAAAAAACTTAATTATTGGCTACTTTCAAAGACTTAAATAGATAAAATATAATAGTTTTTGCCATTTTAGATCGATTTAAATGTAAAAGTTATGCTTGGTAATGGAAAATTTCCGAGAAAATTTGATTATCCTGATGATTTTTTGAAAAACTTATCTGAAGAATTGCCCTTATTACAATTTAATATTTAAATATCTGTTTTTATCCTTTTTGTACTACTTAATATTTTACCACTCAGATTCTTAAATAAAACCAACCTAAACCTCATCCAATTTCCAAATAAATTTTTTTTTACCAATTTTCTTAAAAATAAATCTCAATTACAAAGTTAAACGACAGAAAACAACGGTTTTTAAGATTAAGATAGAAAAAAATATTTTATTGCATTAAAAAAATTGTTATTCTTGGCTCGTTAAAAAGAGAAAAAAAAATCTTCACACAAAAAAAAATCTTCAAGTTACAATTTTTGTCCTTTTCATCAAGTTTTATGAGAAATCTTTGAGAGAAATTCAAAATTAAAGCGACAACAAGCAAAATATATAAAAAAATATGGCATTTTCAGCACGTAAATGTATCAAAAGAAAACTTTAGAAAGCATAAAAAAATTAATTAATTCTCAAAACTGTTGTTTTCTCTCAAAACATTCTCACCTGAAGAAGTCGGTTCTTCAATAATTTTACTGCGACCAGAACGTGTTGGTCGTGCAGGAGGCAATTTCTTGCGATTGCTCTGAGCTAATTTTCCTTTTCGTACGGGTTCTTCTTCCTCTGATTCAGATGAAACTGGCTGTTGCTTTCGTCTCCCTCTTCGTGGATTATTTTCAGCCTCACTGTCGCTACTTCCATCGCTCGAGACTTGTTGGCGTCGTCCACGTGTACCACGACTTTTTGGAGCTGGCGTTTTCTTGCTCTTACCTTTTCCTTTTTGTGCTGTTGCTGGTGCTCGTTTACTGACTGTTGTGTTATTTGGACGACGAATGCTCATGTTGCTCTCATCGTGTTCATTTTGTTCGGTTGGATTATCATTTACGGCTAGACATTCTTCCAATTTCAGTTCAAAGTCTTGCACAACGGCCTATTTATTAACGGAAATTTATCGGTTATTTAAACTTTGAAGATTAACTGTCATTTGAGTTTTGAAAAATAACGGCCAATTGAAATTCAAAAAATCGGTTCAAAAGATTTAAAAAAAATTACGGTTAAAAATATAAGTTAAACTCACCTTAAGTTCTGGCTTAGCAAGCTTCAAAGTGCTAGTAATGATGTATCGGAATAAGTCATAAACCTCCTGAATCTGTACTTTATCCTTAAAGAACCCAATGTTCTCAATCAATTTCTTAATTGTTTTTTCCGTGTACGATAGTAAAGACAGACAAAAAGCTATATCACGCCATTGTCTCTCCTGTTCAGTCATTTTAAAGCGATAACATAGTTTATCGACAAGACTCTCAATTTGTCGATCCTTACTAATTAATCCAATAATGTATCGCATAATAACTTGATATTTTCCCTCTTCAAGATTCAAATTTGGATCGCCCAAACGACTAATGATGTCAGGCAGTACGTTATATAGAATATTTGATTTGTGTGCGATTTCCTTAAAAAAGACTTCCGTCGATGTACGAATTTCGTCGTCCTTATCAACAAGGCACATCGCAAGGTCAGAAATTTGTCCTTTAATAAGAATCATTTCGTGTGAAATTAAATGTGAAAGAATTCGGACACTCGTCAGTCGTAAAACTCTGTTTTCGTCATGTAATGTTGAGTACATGTGTGCACTCCAAGGCTCGACAATATTTGGAAATCTAAATGTTAAGTCACTCATTCCAATTATCACATTGCATTTAATGTCGATGTCTTTTGAATGTGAGAATATATTCATAAGAAATTCCATATTTTTCTGACAGAACTCGGAACTGACTGACATAAAGTGAACTAAAGCTAATAAGGCTGATCTCTGTATTTCGGAATTATTAAATCGTTTTGGATATTTTAGTACTTCGAGGATTAAAGGCACAAATCTCCTGAAAATGCCATCTTTATGAAAAAGTAACTCATGCTCACAAATTGTATTAATTTGTTCTGCAAAAGCATCTTCTGCTGACGGTCCAATTACATCCTCTTCATTATTCTCTTCTTCGTCTTGATTTTGTTGTTGATTTGGTAAAACTGATTTACGTACGGCTGCTGTTGCAGACATGTTAAGCGTCGATTTACGTCCATTAAGTTTATTAGCAATTGCATTTGTCTTTTTCTTATTTTTGAGTATGTCCGCCAATTCTTGTCGATATTTTAAGTTTGTGTAAATATCAATGTCCAAATAAATCAGCTCTTTCATTGCAACATAGCCAATCATGAAAATAAAACGTGATAAAAGAATCGCCGGTAATTTCATGTTTCCTACACGAAGCAATGAACCATTTTGACTTGGACGAATAAACGGAGTCTGTGTTAAGCCATTATCTTGTGTTGCTGCATCCTGCGTTGCCTTATCGTCCTCACCCTCGATGATCTTGTCGGATATCTTACGCATCTCATCCCATATCTCAATGATTATCTGTTGGCTGATGACGTTTGGTTGGTGGCACATTTTGTAGATGTATTGAAATGTTCTACTGCAAATATCATCAAAATTTGAAACTTTATGATTGTGGAAAAAAATTTTGTAGCAATTTGTCACGGTCGTTACACGTTCGTTATCGAATTCCATCCGTGGATAGATTTGATCCTCCTTGTCAGCATAATAGTTCATCAGAAATTCGAGGGTTTGGACGAATATTCTCGGATCACGTTGACCGCGCTCGCCAAATCCTATATTTTCAATTACTTCCGAATTCACGCGTGTTATTGCTGCCTTGACTCTGTAAAATTTAATTTATATTTTTTCATTAGTTTATTGTTGCTTAATTTAATTTTCGATACTTACGACGAGCATATAATGAGCAATTGAAGTGCAAGTCGAGAATCATTGCTTGTGACATTCTCGATTTTCTTTGAATAAATCTCAAACATTACTTGAATCATTGAATTGTCAATATCATCGTTGAGGACATATTCTCGAACCAATTCTTCGAAGGCTATGTGATGGCTGAATGTTAATCCCTCAATAAATCTCATTAAGTTGTAGACAACTTTCACGGAATGTGCGCTTTAATTAAATTTAAAATTAGTTTCAAGTTTTATTTAACGTTTTTTAAAGAATTGAATTTCAACGGTTCCACATTGATCGAAAAAGTGAGAAGTTTGTCAAAAATTCAGCTTATATGCTTATGTTGTAAACATTGGTCCCTGGTTTATAGGAAAAATAATTTTTTCCCCTGGGAGTGCCTGGTCCACGAGAAAAGAAGGTTTGAATTTTTGTACTTCATGTAATTTTGAAAATGCTATTGTGTTTCATATTTATCCGTTTGTCTTCAAATATTTTTTATTTGATAGGTACAAGTTAGAGCTTTCTTATGAATATCCACATGATACACTTTTGATGTATATTGGCTCCTAAAAGTTGAAAAAAAATCAAAAAAACTAGGTTTTTTGTCATTTTTTGGACCTCATGACTATATAAGGCTTTCTAAAAAATTTTTGATTGTAGTATATTGTAGATCTTATTTATATCTACAATCATCACATACATAATCTACATATTTTATGTAGTTTGAGTAGTGAAAATTAACTTTGAAGTCAAAAATTTGCATATTTTTTGCTTTATTCTTAATTATGATCCACTGTCCACGTCCGGCTCCAAAATTTTATTTCATTAATTTGTAGATCCTAGTATGCTCTATCAATTAATGCAATAAGAAAAAAGAATCACTTGCCGGAAAGCTTCAAAATATGAGCCTGAAGTTGGCATAGTCAGGTATCTCAAAATTCAAAATGAATTTTCACATACCAGTCTTAATGAAAGGAACTGAAATTTTCAGGTTTTATTCAAAAAGCAATGTACTTAACATCCACAACAAAAGTTTTTAATTAAAAACACAATTTTGTTGAAAATTTAGGCAAAAAGTGATATATGATGTTATGAAACCATTACATGCTCAATAGAGCTACTATAACCAGTTTAAATCAAAACATTAGCACATCAACACACAATTTTCATATAGTTCATTTAAAAAGCTTTCCAATGGTATATAATAAGTCATATAAAGATGTAATTTCTAGTAAATATCATCAAAATTTTAAAAAATGTATCAAATTTTACCGAATCTGAAAACCTATGCTTGACAAATTTTGCTTAGAACTATTGTAAATCTTAAGTATATGCAATAATGTTGGTATTGCTAGAAAGCTTAAAGTAGTGTTGATGTATTTAAAAAGGAATTGAAGCTCATTGGCAGCTAGGAGAACAGATATGCTAGGTCCAATATGTCATACTTTGACTGCCACTACTAGGCACAAAGGTCATTCCACTTTTATTTTTTGGACTTTTTTCTATAGATCTATGCTAGAACTATAAGCTAAATACATCAACACTAGTCATGAGGTCCAAAAAATGACAAAAAACCTAGTTTTTTTGATTTTTTTTCAACTTTTAGGAACCAATATACATCAAAAGTGTATCATGTGGATATTCATAAGAAAGCTCTAACTTGTACCTATCAAATAAAAAATATTTGAAGACAAACGGATAAATATGAAACACAATAGCATTTTCAAAATTACATGAAGTACAAAAATTCAAACCTTCTTTTCTCGTGGACAAGGCACTTCCAGGGACCAATGTCTACAACATAAGCATATACGCTGAATTTTTGACAAACTTTTCACTTTTTCGATCAACGTAAAAATTTAAATTTGAACTAATGTTCAAAAAGATAAGTTCAAAAACTCAAATCTTTAAAGTACGTTAAAATTCAAATCTTAAAAATTCGTTAAAAACTCACCGTCCTTGCTGATCAGTCTTCCACAATACATGCTTAAAGGCTTCACGAACAGGTTCTCGTTTTTCCTTTGCCGTAGCCCACACCAAATATAACATTTGACGTAGTCCATGCTCAGTATTTTTAATGCCAAATAAGTAGGCGGCAGTAAAGAAATTGATGGCTTCTGCTGAGTCGCTTTCTGTTTTTGACATCAACAAATTCTGTAGCTTTGGAACGGCAGCAACGAGAAGCTTTGAAAATTCTAAGCAATCCTCCAAATAGCGTACAGCATTTTCTGCCTTTTTGTAATCTTCTTCGTAGTCTTTGCAGTTGTTTTGGAGCAAAAAGTATGATTTAAGAAGCATAGCGAAATAAAGCAGTGCTTCTTCTTGCTCAAAACCTTTAATAGTTTCCCAATTTCCATTTAGTTCCTCAGCTTTACGGACGAGTAAGGCAAGACGCTTATAATTTTTATCTTCCAAAATTTTATCAAAATCGCTATAAAGTTGAGCACAATCTTCAGCACGAATGCCTTCATCCTCAATCGATGAAAGTGTAATACATCGAATAATATGTTCATGCATGTCCTTGATCAGTTCTTCGCATTTTGTATTAACTTCATCAACTTTATTCGATTCCTCAATCATTTTATTACGGAAATCACTCAATTCTTTAATTTTCTCATTGTAACGTGCTTCTAGTTCTTCAATTGACAATTTTGATGCGAATGGATTTCGTTCCAAGAATGACGTCATCAAATGAATTGCATTTTTGCGAACTAAAGCTGATTTATCTTCTAAACGACTTGCAACGACTTTCATGATTGGCGAGAGCCAAATTACAGGAACAGCATCAACACTTTTCATATGTGTCCATAATGCTAATGCTTTTGAGCGTACGTGTGCATTTACGTCATGAATATGGTAGTAAATATGCTCCAAATATTCATTCCTAATGTCTTTATGGTCTTGAACGAGATTCTCGCCTGTCAATTCAGTACAAATGATTTCAGACATTAATGTAAGGATGCAGATTCTCAATTGATATGATTCCAAGCTTAATACATCACTTGCTATATCGCGTATGAATGGCATTAATAGAACTGGCGCAATACTTCCTAATTCAGTGAAAAATTGTGAAATATTCTTAATTGTCATAGCATCTGCAGAATCATCAAGTCCTTCCAAAACCTGCTCGACCATAACTTTAAAAATTGTCTGCATGCCATACTGCTCATACAGGACAACCATTCCTTGACATATTGATGGAATTGCCATTTCACAGGATTTTAGAATCTCAAATATTCGTACTGGAAATACCATGGAATGATTATAGCGTTTTAGTAATGTTCCAAGGATCTGTATGGATGTATCGCCGACATTTTTATCTTTAATAGTTGGATGCTCAAGAGAGCGATAGGCAATATCGGCAATTAAATTAACAAAATTCTCTTCTGGAACTGGTGGTTGCCATAAATTCTCTAAAGGCAACTGAATTATGTTAAATAACTGTAATAGACTTTTGTATCTTCTCTCTTCCCATTGAATGTGATCCATATCCTCAGCTGTTTGCTTCTTAGACTTTCCCTTTCCTTCTGTGTAGGCAAATACATCCTTATCGATCTTCTTCATTAATGTTATTTGTGCATATATTAACATTTTTAAGGCATTTAAATTAAGACTACGTTCATCTTGTGATAAATTTGTGTTTTGAAGGGTTTCAGCGAGTTCTTGTCCCAATTTATCGATTGATTTGTATAAAAGATCAGTTGCTCGAAAGATCTGTTGCTTTTGAAGATCCTTTGCGAGTTCCGTGATCGAGAAAAATGTCTCGAAATAGTCAAAAATGTATGGTATTCCATGTTCTGTGAGTGCAAGACGCGCAACTGTAAAGGAATAAACAGATAAATAAACTTACAGATTACTGGATTATTGATAATTCATACGTACGCCGCAACTTTTCAAAGCATTCCTTTTCGTTATAAACTTTTGTCACACAAAACGAATTTCCCGTGCCTGCTTCAAGCAAATCTGAATTCTTTTGTGGTATTATGAACTCAAACTCCATTTTAGGACTGTCCTGCTTAACTGAATGTGACTAATTAATGCTATATTTTAATTATTATAGTTTCTTGATTTAGCAGCAAAATTTCAAACAAAGCGCGTTTAAATCTTTTCAGCCGTTATGGGACCTGCTACTTCTTATATTTTTTTGAATATTTTTTGACAGTTTGCATTTTGATCATAGAAAACAACTAGCGCTTTACAATTAAGAAGATAACTTTGTGATACATTATTTTAAATATTAAGCTACAACGATTTTAATTTAGATTAAAAGTGACTGAATAAAAAGGAAAATATTTGAGTTGCAGGGCATGCTACTTTTATTATGTCATCTTGGAAATTTTACAAATTTATTTTGACAGTTGATCAAAACTCACCAATACATTCAAACATTTGTTTACAGTTTTTACGAGAGCACGTTGTTGAATCTTAAAAAATTAAGATATTGTGAATTAAAGCATAATGTCATCGGATGAAGAAAATTTTAAGGTGAATAAGGCATCACACAAGAAGCTTTTATCGGAAATCAATGATATTGTCAAGTTTCAACACATTAAAAAGCCAAAAAGAACAGAACCGGCAGTAAAAAATGATGAATTTCATTTAATTAAGACAAAGGCACTAGGAAATGAGAACGATGATGATTCTGTGAAGAAACCAAATAAAAAGAATGTCGCAATTACAGCACTAGCGAATTTAGTAAGGAAAAATGAGAGTCAGAAGAAAATTAGCAGTCAGTTCCAAGAAACATTCAAAAAGACAAAAGTCCTCAAAAAGCCATTAGAAAAGATCCATGCAGACAGAATCCAACGATCTATTGCGTATGATAGCACAAAGAATAAGCTATCAAAATGGGACGCAATTGTAACGAAGAATAAAAATGCAGATCAGCTAAAGTTTCCATTAAATTACGACAAAACTTTTATGGATGGCGATGATCACAAAGAGACAGGCTTCTCAAAATTCCGATACAAGACTAAAATGGTTCAAGAAATGGAAGCAATACATAATGAATGTTTTCCAAAAGACGAGGAACCAGAATTACTTAAAAATGATTCAGCTGAGCTGTTGACTCTTGAGGAAATGAAGGAACGACGAAAGGAATTAGGTCGATTAAAAATGCGAGAGTCATATCAAATAACTAAGAAGCGATTGCAGGGTAAAATCAAGAGCAAAAAGTATCACAGGCTGAAGAAACGAGAAGATATTAAACAGAAACTAAAGGAATTTGAGGAACTTAAAGCTATTAATCCAGAAGCGGCATTGAAGGAACTGGAGAAGATTGACAAGCAAAGAATTCAGGAACGTGTTAATTTAAGACACAAAAACACTGGAACTTGGGCTAAAAACATGAAAGTAAGTTAATATTTGAATCCTGAAAAAACGGTAAAATCAAAACATTATCTATTCTAGATTCGTGCAAAATACGACACAAATGCTCAACAAGAAATAGAAGCACAACTTCAAATAGCTCGCGATTTAACACAGAAGCAACAAAAAGAATCAAGTGACTCAGATAGTGATGAAGAAATGCCAGGTTCTAATAAAAATGCTGATAATCCATGGCTGAATGGAAAGAATCCTGAAGATGAAGATGACATTTTTGGTGGATGTAGAAAGTTCTGGGAAGAGAAAAATGCAAATGAAAAGGCATTAAAGAAGTTAAGAAAGGTTAATGAAAAACAAACAGTTCCAGAGGAACCAAAACCTGAAAACAATGAAGAAAATGGCAAAATTGAGAATTCAGGCACCGAAAAATCAGACGAAGAGCAGTCAATGAGTGAAAATGATGATGAATTATCAGAAAATAGTAGCGACGAAAATACTGAGTCACAAAACAATTCAAAGAATGGCTGGATCGAAGAAGATGTTGTGTCATCAGACAACGAAGATCCATCAAACTTTATAAATGACCTTTTCGATAAGGCAGAAGAAAATATCAACAAGAAATTAGATTCAAAATTAAAGGAACTCAAACCCAAACTTTTAACAGTCACAAAACCTGAAAAGAAAAGGAAGAAAACATTAAAAAATAAGCCAGACGTAAATGATCCCAAATATTTAGAATTTGAACGAGAAGCTCAACTTGGAGACATTGACGAGGCACTAAATGAAGGCAGTGACGATCAAGAACAAGTCACAAGACTTCCACCATCGAAAAAGCTCAAAAATGAAATTCAACAGCTTAAAGAAGATAAAAAATCATTTATGCGCGGAACTAAGGATGAAATTGATCCATCATCATTTCTAAATATCAAGTCTAAACATCTTTTAACGTCAATTCCAAAAACACAGGAATTAGATGATGTCGATGAAGAAGAATATGCAACTTTAGCAGCAGCAAATAAAATGAGTTTAGCTGAAGCTTTTGAGAATGACGACATTATTAATGACTTTATTGAGGATGTCGAAGCAGAAGCAAGTAAAAATCAGATAACTAGCAACAGTACACTTATGGGATGGGGTTCATGGGCTGGTGAAGGAATTAAGGAAAAGAAAAGGAAGTTTATTGACAGAAATCCACAAATAAAGAGAAAAGATCGAGTTATTGTGAATACAACGCCACATGAAAGCCTTAAAAAGCATTTAATATCATCAGTTCCGTTTCCATTTACGACTATCAAAGATTTTCAAGCTTCTATGCGAGCTCCAATTGGCAAGGACTTTAATCCATCATCTGCTCATAGTAAGTTGACAATGGAAAGTGTCATCACTAAGGCAGGAACAATTATTGAGCCTATGAGTGAGGAAGCACTTGTTAAAACAAAGGACGAAAGAAAAAAGAGGAAATTCATGAAAAAACCTATTGCTAGATGAATTTGTGAATGATGAATTTTTTTTTTGTGGATTTAAGCGATTTAAGCTATTTTAAAAGAAATAAAATTATTATTTTGAAATTAACCGACAGTTTTTGAACTTTTGAAGCAACTAATTTTGAAATTTTTAAAGCCTTTAAATTTGAAGTTCAAAAAAATTTGAATTTCGAAAACCCGGTAAAATATAATTCTCAAAAATACGTTAAATTTTCAAGACTTTATTTCCACTTTTAGAAAGTATTACAAGTAATTAAATTAAAAATATTGGGGTGTATCAAGTGCAATCATTTTCTTGCATTTCTCGACATTTCCAGACTGCATTTCAAGATACAATTCGAGCATTTTTACATGAAAAGTAACAATTGGATGCCTTGACATTGCTACAGTTGTCCTAGCAAGTTCAAAATCACCATAAATAGCTAAAGACACAGCCAAATTGTATGTAAAAACAGCACTAGCTGCTTCAAGCGTATTTATATTCCAATCAGGTGATGATCGTGTCTCAAAATCCGTACTTTTCAGCTCAGTCATGAGTTTTGGATCCAAAAATGAAATTGCTTCAGGAATTCGATCCAGCATGATGCAACTTTCAGCTGAATAAAGATATGCCAACATTTTATGTGTGTCTGGAATGTTTTCCATTTTCAGCAGTTCCTTTGCATGCTGTAAAGATATTGTGTAATCACCCAAGCATAGACTTACATAGCTGGATGCTGTAAGGATGTGCATCCTTAGTTTCTCAATTGCAGCTTTTGATAAAGGCTTTGATGGATTGCAAAGGACACCATCGTCAAGTGCTTTATTCCAGTTATTGCCAAATACCTCAAATGTCTCAGATTTAACTGATTTCATGTCCAAAACAGTGGAAATTTGTAGATAATGATTAACAAGTGTCAATGCATTTCTGAGACATAAAAGAGCAAATTCTAGACTTGTGCTTGGAATCGCTGAAGATCCTGTATCGTCAATCGAATATTTAAGCTGTGATGGAGTTATTACGAACTTTCTGTGGACACCACTTCCAATAACTGACGAGACGATATTTTTATTCTGCGATTCTTGTTCTTTTAAATGTTGTTTATGGACCATAATACATGCTTCTGCTAATCTCAGCCATAATCTTGGATTTTTATGATAAACATTAAGTGGAACTAGCAGGCAATCAAATGCATCTTTCGGACGTTGAAGGTAAAGCAAGGCAATACCTAAATTGTACAAAATGTCTGCTCTTTTTGTAGCTCCAAGACAGTGTAAAGGAAGTTGATTACTATAATCCTTTCGTGCTGTTTCCAGTGCTTTCTGATCGAAAAGTAGTGCTTGTTGAAAGAACCTCACAGCCAGTGAATAATGCTTGACACTAAAGTGTATTAATCCCATATTATTAGCAATGCAGACATTCTGATCTTCACCGTACTTTTTGACTGTAACCACTTCATTCTTAAACTGTTTGGACAGTTCTTTTGCAGACATTTGGAAGTCATTCATTAAATAAAATTGATGAGCTTTTAAAATTGAGAAATTTGATGTCTCTTCTAATGGAATTATGACTGATTTTCTGTTGAGCAACCTGGAACGGATTAAGGCAAGCCTAAATAGATTCCTGTAAATTTCTTGTTCCTCGTCAAGTTCTTCTGGCTTCCTTCCTTGTTCTGATTCCAACAATTCATCATCACTCAACAAGATATCGTCATTATTAATATTTAACCGATTTTGAAGCATTTCAAGCAGCTGATCAGCCTTTTTATGATGATTTGTGTCCAACAAAATGCAAACAGTCAATAGACCAACTTTCTCTAAGAATTTGTTGTTTAAATGATCGACATGCTGAAGAATTCCAGTCATAATCTTTAATGCTGAATACAGCTGCTTCTGATGGAACAAAACGACAGCATAATTATAGTAAAGTGGACATAAATTAATTGATGAGACATCCACAACTTGAACCAACTGGATATCACTTAAATTTGATAGCGATAAGAGTGTCTTCTTGAATTGATCGCCTTTTGTTAATTCACTTTTGTAAAAGTCAGCTACTGCCTTGTTGTGAGCTGCTTTAATTTCGGCTATTTCTGTTTCCTGAAAGTTTTTAGGGATTTTATGAGCTGTTGCTGAAACACGCTAATTTATTTGTATGCTTACCATCTTGTTTGTTCTTTATTTCGACGATAAGCTTGTTTTTTGTATTCTAGATGCTGTAATATGGCTATAATTAATGATTTTGACTTTTAAAAAGTTTGTTTTGATTTTTCTTGTTGAAAGTTTTTTTACCCACGAAATTTGAATTTGAATAAACCGTTAAAATGAATGTGAAATTGGAAATCTTTTAGACTAGTTTTTGAAGATTTTAATTTAAATTACTTGATTTTGACATGTAAAGGCACAACAAATTTTTATTATTTTTGTACTGGCTAGCTACAAAATCGAATGAATACTCTATATCAACTGTCATGTTTTATTTTTAAAGATATCAGCTTCTTAATGTTGCTTCATCATCCTCATTCCTTTTGAAATTCTTGCACAGAATGTGGCTCTGGAAATAAAATTTAAGAATTTTCGAATAAATTTTATTATCTCAGAATTTAATATAAATTCGAGGATTAATGCCACTTACACAATAAACAACAATCGGAAGAGTAATTAAGCACGCTCCAATAACATCAGCGGGTCGGTGCCAATTGTCAGATATTCTCGTGACACAGCAGAAACTTGTCCATAAAATGATAACTGAATGTATGAAGACTACGAGCAATTTTGATGGCATTTCACTGAATCTAGCCTGAATATAGCTGATCAAGAAGATACTGCTGAAGAACACTGAATAAGTGTGGCCCGAAGGAAACGAGCGCTGTGACTCAAATACAGTATAAGCATCATATTCGGTGCTTGTGCATTTATATTCAGCTATGACGGTTCCTCCTGTGCAATTTATTGCTGCATCAGGTTTACAGACCTCAAAGAAGAATGGTCTTAACGATCCATAAAGGTTTTTGATGGTCGACGAGACTAGTACTACACAAATGAAAGATATAAAGTAATACTTGAACCATCTGAGGACTCTTTTGAAGACTTTGATGAAATTCTGTTTAGCTGGACTTTTTCTTTCTAGTAGAAATTCTATAGCAAGTATCTAAGAAGGTAATTGAGATTTAGGTACCAGAATAAAAATTAATAGACAAAATAGCATTTCTAATCTGCTTAAAAATCAAATAAACAATTAACGGTCTTTTCAAATTTGAAAAAGAACGATCAAAATATATTTGAAAAAGCAAAGTTCAATTTTTTTGAACATTAACGGTAATTTACTGGATCTTTACCAAAACAACAGTTCCATAGAAGTAATAATGCAGCCAGCGTCCTCTGATCGTTGATCTCTTGTATGGCAATGAAAGTGACTTGTCTCCACATACGAATGGTCTAGAAACTTTCGGAACTACTGAATCCACCTTATTCCATGCTAATAAAACTGTAAATTAAAAATATACTATCAAAATCACAATTCTGAGATAAATTAAGCAGTTTACAACTTACAGACAGCATAAACAATAACATCAATTGCCCATCGTATCATTGTTCTTCTTTCAACCATGATTATTTTTAATGTTTTTATTGATTCCAACAAGTGGATTTTTTGAACTTTAAAATTGTTTACTTTCAAAGGCACGGCACACGTTTTGCACTCAATATTTGATTTTATTTGCAATACTTGAATTTAGGATGATAAGCTTTAATTAATGTAGGTCAGTTCTTGTTGAAGATTAAGGGTAATTCCATGAGTAATGAGAACTGTGAAAAAGCACTATGCAATATTTCTCTACTTGTAAAAATTCAAATTTCCCAAAACCGTTATAATTTCTAAACGTTTTGTTGTTTATTCGAGTGAATTAGCCGCAATACCATCAAAGAGAGATGGTTCAAATATACATGATCTTTAATGTTTTGAAACTTTAGTTACTTGCTCAATTAAATCAAATAAATGTAATAAACTTACAAGTAAAATCAAGAAAATCTAATGGTTTTTGTGAATTTGAAATTTTTTCAGTGTTCTGTTTTGCAATAATCGGTCAAAAATTGACCGATTAATGCTAGTTTTTTTGATTTTTCTTCTTAATTAAAGCATTAAGGAATGCAAATTATACATAAAACAAAAGCCTGGCTAATATCTAATATGTTAAAAGTAACTTTGGAACATAGAAGTGTGTATTTAAGTAAATATTAGGAAATGTTTAGAAAACGATTTTTCGAAAACTTGACCGATTAATTTTACTTTTATTAAAAAAACAAGAATTAGACATATTTCTGATGTGAAACTCTCACATATGGAGATAAATATTGTGTTAATAAACATAATAAAGTTACAATTTGGAGTACAAAGTTCTTAGTTAAGGAAATATTTTTGAAAAATTGGAGCACTAAAATTTTTTTCACTCATGGAATTACCCTTAAAGAAAACAAAAATATTTTTAATCGAACTCATTCACAAAAACTTTAATGCTGCACGATCGCTTTTGTACTAACACATTCTCATTGTTTTGGTATGTGCATGCTTAATTGCTCTATAGCTCTATATTATTTTATTGTTTAATGGGAGATCTGAGGTAGGAAGAATTTTGATAAGGCATTTTTCTGTCATGTTTGTGGGTGCTAATATAGATATAAAATCGAAATTTTTCTGAAAATAGCCTACTATGATCGAAACCAAAAATGCTTTAAATTGCAATTTAAATCATATCTAGGTATAATAAATGATAAAGAATGCTAATATAGATATAAAATCGATCTTTTTTTGAAAACAGCCTACTATGATCAAAACCAAAAATGCTTTAAATTGCATTTTAAACATATCTAGGTATTATAAATAATAAAGAATGCTAATATAGATATAAAATCGATATTTTTTTGAAAATAGCCTACTATGATCAAAACCAAATATGATTTAAATTTCATTTTAAAACATATCTAGGTATATTAAATGATAAAGATTGCTAATATAGATATAAAATCGATATTTTTTTGAAAATAGCCTACTATGATCGAAACCAAATATGATTTAAATTTCATTTTAAAACATATCTAGGTATAATAAATGATAAAGAATGCTAATATAGATATAAAATCGATATTTTTTTGAAAATAGCCTACTATGATCGAAACCAAATATGATTTAAATTTCATTTTAAAACATATCTAGGTATAATAAATGATAAAGAATGCTAATATAGATATAAAATCGATATTTTTTTGAAAATAGCCTACTATGATCAAAATCAAATATGATTTAAATTTCATTTTAAAACATATCTAGGTATAATAAATGATAGAGAACGCTAATATAGATATAAAATCGATATTTTTTTGAAAATAGCCTACTATGATCGAAACCAAATGTGATTTAAATTTCATTTTAAAACATATCTAGGTATTATAAATGATAAGGAATGCTAATATAGATATAAATTCGATATTTTTTTTGAAAATAGCCTACTATGATCAAAACCAAATATGATTTAAATTTCATTTTAAAACATATCTAGGTATAATAAATGATAAAGATTGCTAATATAGATATAAAATCGATATTTTTTTGAAAATAGCCTACTATGATCGAAACCAAAAATGCTTTAAATTGCATTTTTAACATATCTAGGTATTATAAATAATAAAGATTGCTAATATAGATAAAAAATCGATATTTTTTTGAAAAAAGCCTACTATGATCAAAACCAAATATGATTTAAATTTCATTTTAAAACATATCTAGGTATAATAAATGATAAAGAACGCTAATATAGATATAAATTCGATATTTTTTTGAAAATAGCCTACTATGATCGAAACCAAATATGATTTAAATTTCATTTTAAAACATATCTAGGTATTATAAATAATAAAGAATGCTAATATAGATATAAAATCGATATTTTTTTGAAAACAGCCTACTATGATCAAAACCAAATATGATTTAAATTTCATTTTGAAACATATCTAGGTATTATAAATGATAAAGAATGCTAATATAGATATAAATTCGATATTTTTTTGAAAATAGCCTACTATGATCGAAACCAAAAATGCTTTAAATTGCAATTTAAATCATATCTAGGTATAATAAATAATAAAGATTGCTAATATAGATATAAAACCAATATTTTTTTGAAAATAGCCTACTATGATCGAAAGCAAATATGATTTAAATTTCATTTTAAAACATATCTAGGTATTATAAATAATAAAGATTGCTAATATAGATATAAAATCGATATTTTTTTGAAAATAGCCTACTATGATCGAAACCAAAAATGCTTTAATTTTCATTTTAAATCATATCTTGGTATTATAAATGATAAAAAATGCTAATAAAGATATAAAATCGATCTTTTTTTGAAAACAGCCTACTATGATCAAAACCAAATATGCTTTAAATTGCATTTTAAACATATCTAGGTATTATAAATAATAAGATTGCTAATATAGATATAAAACCAATATTTTTTTGAAAATAGCCTACTATGATCGAAACCAAATATGATTTAAATTTCATTTTAAAACATATCTAGGTATAATAAATAATAAAGATTGCTAATATAGATATTAAATCGATATTTTTTTGAAAATAGCCTACTATGATCGAAACCAAAAATGCTTTAAATTGCAATTTAAATCATATCTAGGTAAAATAAATGATAAAGAATACTAATATAGATATGAAATCGATATTTTTTCGAAACCAGCCTACTTTGATCAAAACCAAATATGATTTAAATTTTATTTTAAAACATATCTAGGTACTATAAATGATAAAGAATGCTAATAAAGATATAAAATCGATATTTTTTTGAAAATAGCCTACTATGATCGAAACCAAAAATGTTTTAATTTTCATTTTAAATCATATCTTGGTATTATAAATGATAAAAAATGCTAATAAAGATATAAAATCGATCTTTTTTTGAAAACAGCCTACTATGATCAAAACCAAATATGCTTTAAATTGCATTTTAAACATATCTAGGTATTATAAATAATAAGATTGCTAATATAGATATAAAACCAATATTTTTTTGAAAATAGCCTACTATGATCGAAACCAAATATGATTTAAATTTCATTTTAAAACATATCTAGGTATAATAAATAATAAAGATTGCTAATATAGATATTAAATCGATATTTTTTTGAAAATAGCCTACTTTGATCGAAACCAAAAATGCTTTAAATTGCAATTTAAATCATATCTAGGTATAATAAATGATAAAGAATACTAATA